CCGGTTGATTACACCGGAAACAATGGAAGGAGGAACCGCTGGAGGGACCAGTAGCTGTGGGGTAACCAGCCGAACCGACCGGCTGGCCTTGTCCCCCCCTCCCATGGCTTCCTCACAAGTGGCCGTGCCCGACCAGCGTCCCGGCTCTTCTGGAACTCTCTAAGGTTAGTATCGAGGTCTGCCGTTCCCGGGAACCATTCTCGCAGGTGGTTGGGAACACCCCGGTAGATGCAGGCTTGACGTAACTCTTGGTCAAGCCTGGCCCGGAAGTAATGAATCAACAGCCGTTCCAGCCATGATGAACTGAGTCAGCCCGCCAACCAGCGAAAGGTGCAGATATACTCCGCCACTGTCCGCCCTTGTTGTTTCAAAGCAAGGAGTTCCGCTTCGGCCCGTTGGAGGCGGGAGGCATCCTTGACTCGTCCATGTAGTGCTTCTAGGAACAGCCCTACATTACCAAGCTCCCTGGCATGGTCGCTATAGAGGTTGGCGGCCCATGCCGCCGCCTCCCCCTGCAGCGCCATGACTGCCACCACCATAGCCCACTGGGATGGGTACAGGTGGGCATACCGATCAAGGTGGCTGACCACATGGCTCAGGAACATAGCTATCCTGTCAGGGTCCCCATCAAAGGAGATGGGAATAGATGGCGGACCCCATGTGTGCTCCAGACCCCATTGAGCAGGTGGTACCACACCACCGCTCCCAGCAGGCGTGGTTGCGCCAGGCGCTGCAGCCCAGCTTTGTGTCATCCTGCCTGGGGGTTGGGCCCACGCGTCGGCCCCTGGACCACTGAACCACACTGCCTGGCCCGCTGTCCCTGCAGAACCTTGCCCAGAGGTCGAAGCTCCTGTTGCTGCTGCACCCGCCAGCTGGGGAAGTCGAAGCCTGGGACTGCTCAACCAGAACTGTGAGGTGTCTGGGCGTCCAGAAAGAGCGTCCGTCCGTTGTCTAGTCAAGAAACCCTGATAGCTGCCTTCGCCAAAGCGCTCTCGAGAACATCCATTGTATACTCCCCTGGAGCAGTGGAGTAACTCCACTCATCCTCCTCATCGCCAGTCAATTGCCTTTCCCTCCACCCAGAAGCGATGACCTGCCTGGGGGGTTGCGAGGCCGACCAGCATCCAGAGACATCAAGGCTGGACTCTGCCACCATTCCTCCCTTGGCTTGGCAGCCACAGCCTCCTGAGACTGAACCAGGGGTCCAAGTGCCTGGGAGGCCTTTGGTCTTACCACTGGCTGCTCCTCCCCTGTTACGGCAGCCTCGAGGGGATCCGCAGGCGCAGCCACTGTAGAACCAGCCACTGCAAGGTCCTCCACCTGAGGAGCATCTTGCATACCCTCCGCCATTCCCTATGGCTGGGGTAAAGGCAGAGAGCAGCAAATGGAGAGGGAGTGCTGACTTACTGTCAATCTAGATCCATTGTCATCCCGACTGAAGAAACCAGGAACGCAGGAACGTAGTGCAAGTTAGGTTTATTAATGCCTAACAAACAAAGTCAGCACTGGGAGTGGATTGCTTCCAGTGCTTCTTATAATGATACCACCCCCAAACCCCACCCCCCACCCAGAAACCACCACCCGCCCAGCTGCTTGTATAAAATTACATGTTTGACCCAGACACTCCTTCCAGAAGACTCCGCCCCCTTGTTTCTCTGTCTGTTCGGCCAAGGCATGGCTGTCTGCGTCTGCCTCGTGTTTCGGCTCCTTTGACTTCAGTAAGTACTTTTGTGCCTTGCAACTCTCTATAGAGAGCAGTCTTTGTTGTAACCGACTCCCCCTGCTGGCCTGGAGAGTGTCGGGAGGGGTGTAGGTGGTTTCATGGCCGGGCTGCCTGTATTCACCGTTCAGCTGGATAGTGGCCCTTCTGGCCCCAGTCTCTATGGTGGCCGGCAGGGGGCAGGGCGTTGGAGCTTGATTCGGGAGGCTGCCAGCCCTCCGCAGTTCAGCTGGCTGGCGAGGCGCCCGGTACCGGCTTTCGCACTCTCTACGGTGGCCGGCTGGGAGGCAGGAGGTGGGGGCTTGTTTCGGGCGGCCGCCAGCCTTCCGCAGCTCAGCTGGTTGGTGAGGCACCCGGCACCGGCTTCCGCGGCTGCACCGTCGGCTGGCTGGGAGGTAGGGTGTTGGAGCTTGCTTCGGGTGGCCACCAGCTGATCCGCGCTGCTCAGCTGGCTGGCGGAGCACCCACCACTGGATGGCAAGCCCCGTAGGGCTTGACATTTCCATAACACCCTCCACAATCTTCCTGTCTACTCCAAGTTTTCTTTTCAAAGCTCTTCAGATCTTTATACTTCATTCTTTCTTGACCCTTACACCATTCTGTATCCCAATTTCACTTTTGTTCCTGCAGTTCTGTCATCGTGGAGCGGGTGAAGGAACAGACCTCTGTTCCTAAATCCCTAAAAATCTTTGCTAAGAGCCCGGCAAGGGCTTTACCGATCCCAAAGAGATTGATAAATTAAAGAGGAAGCTTCAGAGCAGCCGTGTGGAAAACAAACACCCGAGCAGACAGGAGCAGCACTTTTAAAATTGGCGGAGAAGCCGGTCTCTAAGGCCGGCTGGAGCAATGGTGGTAGTCTGAGAGGGAAGTGAAAAGTAGAACTGACAGTTTCGTACGGGAGACAAGGTAAACCCCTGAAGGAGGTGAGGAATATTTGGCAGAGAGAAGGCGCGGAAAAAGCAAAGCAATAAGGAGAGAGACACAGCGGCAACTGAAACGGAATAGAGCGGAGACGGGAGCGATAGAGCAGAACGAGAGCAGCGAGAAGAAGCAGAGAGGCCACAGTAAAGTTTATAAAATGTGAAAGACCGGAATTTAAGAGCTGCAAGAAGTAGAGATTGAAACTAAAGAAAGGACTGGAGAAAGGACGGCCGGAGGTAACAAAGGGTGATTAAGAGACTTTTAAAAAATTAACATAAGGATTAAAAGTTGAAGTGAGACAATGGAGAAATTTAATACTAATTAGTGGAACTTATTTTTGAAGAGCAAATAGCATTGAAATTTGGACTTTAACTGACATATATCTTGGTAAAGTGACTAGTGGACGTTTTGGAAATTTTGGATATATAGAAGAAGAAATTATACATGGAACAGAAATAAAATTAGTTAGAAATTTATACAAATACTTATTGAGATACAAAATGCAAGACAAGGTTGTCAAAGACACAATGATTAGATGGGCAAAAAATTTCGGATATAATATAGAATTGGAGAAATGGGAAAAAATTATGGGAAACAAACATAAAATTGACTATGTCTGCGGCATTCTAGGAAAACCAATTGAAGATGTTTTACAAGTGGCATCTTCCTACCAGCAAAGCTTGCCAAGATGTTGCAGAACAATTTGCCAACATGTTGGAAGTGTAAAAAAGTACATGGAACATATTATCATATATGGTGGACATTCCCAGTTGTGAAAAAATACTGGACTAAAATAAGAAGATGGATGGAAGAAATAATAGACCAACCTGTAGACTGGAAACCAGATATCTTTCTGCTGGGTATTTTAAACAGAAAATATAGTAAAGAAATACAGTACTTAATTCTACATATAACAACGGCAGCAAGAATAGTATATGCACAGTTCTGGAAAAATGAGAATATACCATCAGAGGAAGAAATGATAAGAAAAATCCTGGACTGTGCTGAGATGGACAAATTAACAAAAGAGATAAAAGAAAAGGAAGACACAGAGTACTATCTAATATGGAATAAGTGGTATGATTGGTTGGAGATTAGAAATAATAAATGAGAATAAATGTGGAAAGGTCAAAAATGGAAAATATGTGTATAATAATGTATAGTAATAATAATATGTATTATTTTTAGTATGAAGTATAGTATGAAGGAAGAAAAATGCAAACAAGAAATAACGGGACAACAAGGACAAATATATCTAAAGAAGAATAAGGGGGGGAAATGAAAATAATAGAAGATTACTGTTACGAAATTGCTGTTAAAAAAAGGAGGAGTATACACTGTGTGTGTATGTGTGTTATGTTTTGTTGTTTTAAAAAATAATTTTAAAAAAATAATAATCCAAAGGTCTTTTCTCTCTCAAATGAGTCAGTCCTTTCCCTCTTGTGCTCAGCAGAGCTATTTAAACATATTAGTGATTGTCTTCAAAAAGCCATTTTATTAGATCTTTCACATAATCCATTGTAGCTAACTGTAGTTAAACTGCTAAATAATCTGTTCCTATTGTTTCTCCTATTTTCCTATTGTTTCTCCTGTGTCAAATTAGAAATTCTTTGTAATATTTGTCACCTTATACAGTACCTATCTCAGTGTAAGATTTATTATAGAATTTGTGCGGTTCCAGCCCTTTCCAGATGTTTTGGATTACAGACTGCACTATTGCCCACTGGTGGCATGGGATGATTTGAACTCATGGTTAGATGGATGTTGTAGTCCAGTGCATCCAGAGAATTCCACATAACGTAAGACCGATGTGGATGTATATTGAGACAATAAAACACAGTAACTAAATATGACTAGTTAAATATAATAAAAAATTAAGAAAGCAGCAACCACAATTTATACTCTGAATTAATAATAATGTCATTTTAGGGTATTCATGTATTTATAATAATAGCATTCAACATTCAGTTATGAAGAAATAGAAGAGGGTTAATTTGGAAATGTCTGCTTCAGAAAAGGGATAATTTGTGTTTCATTCAAATACACTCAGCACGCGCATCCTTCCTTGCCTTTGCTACACGCGTTGTTTATCACAGAGAATCCGGGAGCACGTGGCCTAACAGCGGAGCGCCAATGCAGCCGCTTGGCTTGATGGTTGGCGGGTTGATTGACGGGAGAGAGAGAGAGAGAGGATTCCTTATTTGTCACTAGGCAGCAATTTAGCCATTCCTTGGCAGGCGCGCCCCCGAGGTTGCCTGGAGACCGAGGCGCGCAGGAAAGAGAGGCGGGGGAGAGGGGGTTACGTAGTGACGTTAATTCTATATGAGCGCGAGCGGCGGGAGCTTGGGTCTTTTTACCGCCGGCTGCGAGACGTTTCTTCCTCAACCCTGAGTCACTGCGAGACCCGGCCTCGCGCAGGTAACCGAGATGCGTGGCTTCGAGGGTGGGATCGTGAAGATCACAGGCCGCCCGCCCGCCGGCCCGATATCGATCTCGGCCCACCAGTTGCAGGGATCTTCGCGTTCAGTCGGCACCGAGGAGGGGGAGAAAGCGGGTTGAGGCGGTGCCCTTGGCCGTTGGTCTTCATGTGTGGGAATTGTGCCTAACTTCGCAGCTGTGTTGCTCGAATGGGAGACTGCTCGAGCGCGCAAGGGTGCCAAGGCCATTTTTCTCCTTCCGGCCTCATCACTTTCGCCTTAGGGCAAGGCCCATGGCTGGGCGGCTCGATCTGGCTTGGCTTGGCTCGGCCGGGCCTAGTCTGGCCGGCTGAAGCACAAGCAAACACGTGGGGAACAGGCAGGTCTGGGCCGCCTCCACTCCCTAGTCGGTGACCTGTAAGTGGCGCTGCGTGGATTAAAACCTCTTACTAGGCTGAAACGTAATAGGATTTGCCGCGATGGGGGTAGGGGAAAAGGGGGTCGAAATAGGCAGTTGATTTTGATAGTGGGCACCCGGGGGAGGCTGGGTGTGGGCATTTGGGGAGGGTGCGCGTGGCGGTAGGGAGTCTATCACTCGTATTCCCTGAGGAAATGATGGGTTTAGAGATAACTTTACGCTGTTTTATAATTTCCCCCCCTTGCGATTTAAAGGCAGTTCCCATATGTAGTAATAAAAAGTCCTTCCTTTTCACTTTCCCTCCTTTTGCACAAAGTCAGTGTTGTATTTATAGATCAAAATTTTCTGACTCGATTGATTTAATAGCTATTCTAAATGTACTTTATAAACTTTTGAGATAGTGTCAGGACCATGGTTGTTTTAGACAGTATCAGATTAACTGCTAGGGTGGCTGCACTTTAATCTAGAGGACATGGTTCATGATACTGGCCATATGGTTTTTAGGGCAGGACAGTATAAAAGCAAGATTAAAGTGTCTTGAAATACTGTTCCTTACTTCATTGTTTTTCAATAAATAGCTGGTTGTATTTGATTAGAAGTAGGACATGCAGTAGTGTACTACCACTATTTTCTTTTTGATGTAACAAAAGATGTATAAGATGACAGATACCATTTCAGTACAAGATTAAAAGGTAATCTTTGTAATGGTGGGTTTTGAATATGAATTAGCAGAAGGCCTGAGGTCATAAAATATAAGAAAGGTAGCCAAAGAATGCATATACAGAAGACTTAATGTGTGCTTTTTTAATATACTATTTAATATCTAGAAAGGATGCAAATGACACTTGGCATGATCTTAAGTTCTTGATTTTTTGCATTCTTTGATGTAGCAAGCCAATTTGACTTTAAAAGTTGGCTTCAAATTTCTCATGACTTTCCAATTCAGACATTTTTGTTGGCCAATGTGTTAGGTAGAAACATTTTCACAAATTGATATTTTAAATGTCAAAATAGTTTTCTTGGTTATTACACATCTAGATGTTGTCTATTAACATTAATGTTAAATTTTGAGACATAAAACCCTAATTGTTACAAAATCTGTAGCAGTATTTTTTTTAAATGGTTGGCAGTTCTTGGCAAGTTACTTCTGGTTATCCTTCTGTAAAATGGAAGTAATTAATACACCTGAAAATGCATGTCCAAAATTATAAAAATGCATTGGGACTAGCAAAGTAATGAATATAAGAGTTTTGACTCGTGAGGATATTCTACTGCATGTAAATATAAGCATTATTTAATCAACTTTATTAAACTGAAAGTTTCCAGATAAACTGAATTGCATTTTGCATCTTTCCAGGAAAGCACGTTCAGTTGCTACGTTGAATCAGAAAAGTGGTCCTCCCCATTACAATCTGGTCATGTCTTAGAGTGCCTTAACTGAGGTTGGTTTAATTGTGTTTAGTAATAGTAATAAAAGGTAGTTCTCATTGAACAAACACTTGTTTAGCAACTATTCAAAATCATAGTGTTGTATGAGGGTGACTTACAACTGATGAGTTACATTGTAGTTGCGGATGTTGGAGGATCCCTGCAATCACATGATCACAATTGAGGCATTTGGCAACTGGCTCACAATTATGACATTGCAGTGTCCCATGGTCACATGATTGCCATTTGCTGCCTTTACTGCCAGCTACTGACAAGCAAAGTCATTAGGGAAGCTGGCAGGAGATTGCAAATGGCAATCGTGTAACCATGGGACACTTAGGTAGAATTCACCTAACAATGATAACTGGGACTGTTGTAACTGCGAGAAATACCTGTATAAACTTGATATTACTTATGAATTGCAGTTCATATAATAAGTAAACAAACTGACCATTTCAACACCTGATGTTCAGAACATAATACTGTGGTATGGTACATAGGCCAGTGATGGTGAACCTTTTAGAGACTCAGTGCCCAAACTGCAATCCAAACCCCACTTATTTATCACCGTGTGCCAGGTGGGCGTGGCTGTGGTGGTCACAGCAGACGGTGGGTGGGGCCAGGACGGTGGGGGCCAGTCCCTCGCCGTCTCCAGGGCACGGCATGCGTGCCCACAGAGAGGGCTCTGAATGCTGCCTCTGGCACGCGTGCCATAGGTTCGCCACCACTGCCGTAGGCTATGCCTATATAACATAGGCCTATGGACTGCATGTGACCTGCCAAACAATCTTATATAGCCCACTGACATTATTTAAAATACTACATAAATTTGCTGCTGCCAAATGTCACAGCCACCAGGAAGGTTCCACTGCTGCTGCTGCTCTGAAAGACACTGCCAAATGGCACCAGTGTCTCCATCTCTGATGTTTCTGCTTCAGTAGCTACTGAACAGTTCGTCCAACTACTCCTTTGCAATCTATAACTTATTAGCGTGGCCCTTTCCCCTCCACAAATTGTGCAGGCCTAGCATAAGCTTTTAAAATAACACTGCAAAACAGTTTATGTTCAATAACTTTTATACGCTTTTACTTTTCATGGCCAAAGTAAAAACAGAACTGAGAAAGTAGCTTTTAATGTGTTTGTATACTGCTGACGTTCCATGTTTCAGTATTGGGTATTTATCATACAGTATATTGCCTGTATGGTAACACTTAGTATAAAGATCATTTAACAGTATTTGCATATTGATCTGTATTGCCCTGATGATCAGCAAAACCTAACCGGAATACCCATGTGGTAATTAATGTAGACATTATTCTCTTGGGGTCAGGAATTGCTGTTTAAAAACATCCAGTTATATTTCAAACACCAGTAGAAAATTGGAACCTAATTTCTGTCCTTCTCTTCTGGACTATTAAATAGAGCAATTAAGATGTCTGGAATGTCTATTGTTCATAGACCTCCTTTCCCAATAATGTTGTGACACAGAAGTAGGCTTTGTAAATTAAGCAGATACTTTTAATATGTAGATTCTGTGCCAGTGGTGAATATAAGAATTTTATTGAATAAGACTAATACATCTTAAATTCAGTATTCTGTTCCATAATTAGATTATGGCAAACTGAGAAAGAAAGGGTGCAATATCTTTGTTTTTTCCCTCTAATAATTGATATCATGGAATAGATAACCATACTTTTTCCAAACTCTAAGACCTTATTTTAAAGTGCACAAGCCATTATTGCCCACAATATTATCCCAAGCATTGTAGTACTATACTATAGATATATGTCAATGTAGCAATATTGACATTCTTATTTTTGATAGCTTTCTTAAGAATAATACCTAATAGGGATTTCCTCCTCAGTAGCTGCAGCCAGGGTTAATGTATCATTTTTCTGTTCTGGGGTCCTTTTCGCAATCACTTTTAGTTTAGATTTCATAGTATACAGTACTGTAGGGGGATAGGATCTTTTCCTCAATTTTATGACTTTCCAAAATTTTCATAAGATTGGCAGAATTGAGTCCTTACAGGAAAGTTAAATTGCATGGAAATATTTATCTTGCAAATAAATTTGCTGAAACTGGAATCTTGTCTCACTGAAGTTCTGGTTCCTATAATATTGTATATCATACTCAAAATGTGTTGGAAAATAAAATTTTCAGCCCTAGTTATAGTCAAGAGTTGCTCTACTCTGTTTGTATGTATACAGTGCTCTATTTAAACTCTAAAGATTCATTTCAGCACTGTAACCTAGGTAACTTTTGAGATGCTTGGGTTTCAACTCCTAAAGTTGCGCAGATTGGACAGATATTTTTTATTTATAGAGTACAGGTAATCTTGAGTTATGACCAAAATGGAGCCTGCCTAACATGATCATAACTCATAATGGTCGTAAAATGTGTCGGTCATATGACTGACCCTAATTTATAGCCCTTTGTTGTGGCAGTCATTAAGCAAATCACTTTAGTTTTTAAGCAAACACTGTGTTCATTAAGTTTAAAGATGTGGTTTTGCCGAAAACCGGAAGAAAATGCCAGTTTTGGGCAAAAACATAAAAACCATAGTTATGTATCAGCAGGACTTTCAAATGGCTATAAATGTGGTCTGGTTGTCAAGCGACCAGGTACCATGGAAACTTCAAATCTGGATTGTAACTAACTTCCAGGTAGACCTGCTGGAACCTTGGTTGCTAAGCAATTGGTCATAAATCGAAGACTACCTGTACCTAGAATCTTTTAACAATTTGAGGAAATTGGATTACTAGAAATTGTTGAGAATAATATGATTTTTGTGGAAGATTTTTCTAGAGAAAGGAGTCTTGGTAGTCCTTGACTTACGACCACAACTGACCCCAAAATTTCTGTTGTTAAATGAGACATTCGCTAAGTAATGTTTGCCCCATTTTACGACATTTCTCGTCACAGTTGTTAAGTGAATCACTGCAATAATTAAGTTTAATAACTTAACCTGGTTGAATTTTGAACATGTGACCATGAGGATACTGCGAAGGTCATAACTGTGAAAAACAGTCATAAGTCACTTTTTTCAGTGCCATTGTAATTTTGATCAGTCATTAAATAAACTGTTGTAAATCAAGGACTACCTGTATTTGGGGCCTTTTTCTGGAAATTGTGTTCTCTTGAATATTTAAGAAAGAATATTGTAAAATGTCGGGGTGCAGGAATTAGCTTGATGTTGTTAATGATCTATTAATAAAATATTTATTCTTTCCCAAAAATATAATAACTACATTTACATTGATATGTCTGCTAAGGGTGGGATTATAGGATGTTGGTTTATGCAGGCTTAGGAAGACTTTGTATCTGTAAATCTTCAATATTTTCTGTGGCATAAAACGTTAACGACATTTATAATTTGGATTGTCATGATGTGTTACTATACATTATTATTTGATGGCGAAGTGATGTATTTCAGCATTATAATTTTCATTAATATTCCCTTCAAACAACTTTAGACTAGTGAATTGGAGTGGACAGAAGAAATATGTAATCACTTATGTATTCTGCTAGCTTTATTCCTCATGATTATGTCTTTCTACAGCAGTGTTTCTCAACCTTGACAATTTTAAGGCATGTGGACTTCAACTCCCAGAATTCCACAGCCAGCAATGTTCTAGAGTATACAGTACTTAGAATTTTTTCTGATCTCTGTAGAAGAAAAAGTACGGTTACAGTGACTTGTTTTAAGCTATAGGGCTAAGAATAGGGATTGTATAAATAATACTTAAGTGGAAGTTAATGGCAATGACATATTTTGAATTTTATTGTTCAAATAGATCACATTTATTTTTAAACTTTGATTAAAAAGTTTTTTTAATATGAAAGACCAACCATTTAATGTTAAGAATTGCAGATTTGACATGAAGACATACATACCATAGTTTTTTTTTAAGTGGAATTGCTTTCGGAGGAGTTTTGCTGTATTCAATCAGTTTTCTTAAGAATGGTAGGGGAAAAGATACAAGATGACAGCAATAGTTACTCATAGACTGATTGGACAATATCCATGATGTATTCACGATTCTTCTGACATCTTATTTAGACCTTAATAGAAAGTTTGAGATTGATCTTTATGCTACTTTAAATATCCAGCTAAAGCCTGATGACTTAGCCAAAAAGTATTTGAGTATAAGTTCTGATGTCATCATGTGATGTTGCTTATTCTAGCAAAACTTTGTGGTATTAGTATCTTAAGGTATCTTGAATCTCATTGCTATTTTTGTTAGTGGAGAATTCAATGAAAGATTAAATGGCTTTCTCTGCAATGCAGAAAGATAAGAGTGGATAGGATGTATAAACTGAACTGGAGCAGCAGATTTTGTTGCCATAATCATTCTCTGTCAAATCAAGGTACATCATTGATAAAGCAATTACTTGAAGTAACACCTCCCACCCACCATCTTATTTAATTTTTTTCTTGGATTCAAAAACAAGCAGCAGAATTCTTGTCCTTCTCTTTTGTTATATCAGTCAGCTCCCAGGTATATGCAAAATTTCAAGTTCTGATTCTGACATCTTCCTCCTTTTTTTCCTCCTTCCCTCCCTCCGTTCGTTCCTTCTTCTATTCCTTCCTCCCAACTTCCCTTTTTCCCCTCCCTTCCACCCTCTCTTCCTTCCTCCCTCTGTTCCTCCCTCCCTTTTTTCCCTCCCACCCACCCACCATCCCTCCCTTCCTCTCTCCATTCCTCCCTTCCTCCATTCGTTCCTTCGTTTGTTCCTTCGCCTTCTCATCTCTTTCCTTCCTCTGTGCTCAGGAAGGGGTGATGGGAGGGGGAGAGATTGCCAGTGCTGCCATGTTGCCGCTGGTCTTGCTAGGCTGGAAGTGCTGGTGGGAGGGGTGGCGATGCTGATCTACAACTTGGTTGTGTCCATCAAAGCCAGAATGCGCTCAGCCTTAGATTCAAGGGGCAGCCTTGGAACCAGCAAGGAGCTGCCTTGCCTCTTTCCTGCCTGCTGGGTGTGTGCATGGGAGATGGCCAGTGTTGGCGTCCTTGGGTGAAGTCAGCCTACGGGGCAAGACAGCCAGAAGGGACACTGGACTCCACTTGCATGTGCACCCAGGGAGCAAGGTGGGGCTGCCCCGTGGATCTATGGCTGAGCGCATTCTGGCTTTGATGGACACAACCAGGTTGTAGATCAGTGTTGCCACCCTGCCCACCTGCAGCCTTGCAGCCATGAGGCTTTCCTTTCACTGGGACAACCCCTACCTGCCCATGTGGGATAGCGAAACCGGTGGTAGCATGACAGCACTGTCAATCTCTCCCCCTCCCATCACCCCTTCCTGAGTGCGGAGGAAGGAAAGAGATGAGAAGGAGAGAAGGAAGGAAGAAAGGAACAAAGGAAACAAGGTTACACGGGGCAGCTCTGGAATCAGCAAGGAGCTGCCTCTGCCCTGCCCCCTGGGTGTGCGCAAAGGAGACAACCAGCACCGACGTCCTGAGTGAAGTCAGCCTGCGGGGCAAGACAGCCAGCAGGGACACCGGACTCCGCTTGCGCGTTCTGGCTTTGATGGATGCAACCAGGTTGTAGATCGGTGCCTGGTTGGCCTGGGCCGGGCTGAGGTGCGGTGGGCCAGTCCTTTGCTGTTTCCAGAGCAGGTTCCTGGGCCGGATGGAACCACATAGCGGGCCAAAACTTGTGTTTGGCATGTCTGGTGTAGAGACGTCAGAATTGTTATCATCTCATTAAATACTGTTTGGACAATGACCTTACATAATTCATTCAAGTGAAATGAAAAGCTATACAAGAGGTTTTGTATTGTGTATGCAGATATTTCTGTGTTTGAAACAAAATTTGGAGGTGTTTGAATCTAATGAAATATAGTTCTAAAATTATGATACAAATTTCTTTATCAGTGCCTTGCATATAATATTTTTATGTAGAAGGGCTGTGTTTGAGGAACCTTTGAAAAGGCAGTCACAGTCTTTTAGACATATATTACTCAAAATAGCTGGAAACTATTACACAAATGGAAGATACATCACTCAATATAAATGGAAGTATGAAAACTTTGATTAGCTAAATCAATTTGATTACCAGTCAAAATACAGAAAGATAGAAAACTGATGGCAGAAAAAGATCTAATGTCTTTTGAGTCTGCCCTTTGAGTTTGTTTTTTATTTTTTTATTTTCTTATTTTTATTTTATTTTTAATTTTTGTTGGATGATGAACATGTGTTTATTCCAGTTACTAATGATTGATCTATTACTTTTTCTCTGATGTAATACTTTCTAACATTACTTTTGAATTTCCATCCTGTCAGTTTGAGGTTATGCCCCTGTATTCTTGATTTTGGCTTAATATTGAAAATACTGCCTTTTAGTAACTTATTCACAACCGTAATATATTTAACGGTTTCAGTCTTGTCACTCCTTTCCCATCTGTCCTCCAGGCTGTACATATTCAGTTCCTCCAATCTCTCCCAATATGTTTTGTCCCTCAGACATTGCACCATTTTTGTTATCCATCTTTGGACTTGCTCAGTCTTATCAATATCTTTTTTAAAGTGGTCTTCCGCTAAAGTCAGCAAATAGACTCCAGAGAAGCCATTGAAGAAGCCTGCTATTTGACGACTTAATGGAAAAATGTCTTAATTGACAAGTAATTTTAACTAAATATTCCACAGTTCTAATAACACTTAATTTTGTATATCTATTCTTCTGGTAGGAACAAAAATAATTATATATCTATATATATGTGTGTGTGTGTATTCAGTAATAACAAATGCTTTAAATTATTATCTAACACAATCTAGCATTCCTGAGTATGCAGCTTATGTACAAGAAGCAACTCTGCCCAGTTAACAATGACCAGTTATGTGAGTCTGTCACCGATATCTCTGCAAATGAGTAACAATATTGTAGAAGCAAGTGCTAGGATGAACTAAATCTTTCAAACAAGAACAATGTTTCAGAACATTGTTACAATTTTCACAGAAAGAAGTGAATAAATTTTTACATGCCATAATCACATATTATCTTTGTTAATAAAGATAAAAGGGAGTTAATTGTGTTGCAGCAATATCAATTAAAATTATCTATTTTGAAACAAAGTAGCAACATTCACTTTCCAGTGAAGTTGAGTTCTTCCGTTCATCTTTGTGGATAGGTTTACCTTAGTATTGCAGAGCAATTCTGAATATGCAGGCAACTTTCTTTTCAGAGTGCAAACTATGGTTTGGAACATCAGAATTACTTTGCTACTGAGAAAGGTATAAAAATGTGTCCATGTAGTTGCTAGGAGATGTTCAAGTTATGAGGATCTTTTTATTGTACCAAGATACATATTGGATTCTTGCATCATTCATAATGTGTAGTGTTACATGTAATTTAGGAATTTTACTTAAATACTTTTCAACCTAATACTTTGTTTATGATCATACAAAAAGAGGAGGGCCATAGTTCTGACAGATTTTAAAATGCTTACAATACCATACTCTCCCAGATCCATTGCAACATAGTTCAACATTAGTATAATTTCTGTTTAAAGCAATTTTAAATTATTTCTTTTCTTTTCTTAGAGGTTTGCTGAGGTCTGGAAATATGGCAGACATTGACAAGTAAGAAGACAACTTTTTCCCATTTTGATTGCTGTTAATTTTTGAAAGGGCTTATATCAGCAAAATTCACCCTTAACTTTCACCTTGCTATGTGTGACATTTAATGCCAGATTCAGACAGTTATGCATATTTGCTTTAAACATTAGATAGTAATGCTTTTATGTTTGCAAGAAAATGTATTTTAAATTCAAAGAGTTGATTCAGGTGTATCATGGTGGTTTGTTTCGTATTGTAAAAAAATGAACAAAGATATTTTCTATATTGCCCTTTGACAAACTTTTGAGGATAAAAAATATGGATATATGATTGTCAAACATCTGTATCATAACTCAGTTTTCATAAAGGAGCAATATGTTCCTCTTCCACCACAATATAAATAAAATGCTTTTTTACTAAATATATGTATTTGATTTGGAGCACTTATTGTGGTAGAATAATATTTAGTGATCATAAATGTTTTTAGTATTTGCTTACTTGATGGCTGCTCCCTAAGATGAATAAATTCTGCAAAAATAATTTGATAAATTTGCTATAGAATGTAGGTTGTCCTCAGCTTAGGGTTTTAAGCGCATAACTGATGTTAAACATATTAATCTCAGGCTTGTAATACAAGTAGAAACTTGACAGTAGATTTTTTTTTTAGAATTGCCATGCTTTTGATTCAATTCTGAAAAGGTTGCTTTGGAGCACACAAAGGTACAAACCTTCCATATCTCTTCCTAAAGCAGCTGTGTATTTCTTTAGGACTGTGATTGCTTTGAGATGCTTTTGGGGTTCATTGCCTGCTTTAAAGCACCTTTTTAGAATAAAAATCAAAGTTACGCATAGTCCTAGTTTTTATAAGCAGCCCAGTTGTTCTCAAGATAAGTATAACTAGCATACTTTTTATAATGTTATTCAATGTTGATTCAGTTAAAATCAGACTTGCTTGTTAAAAACTAATATGTATTATATTACTATGCTATATATAGTATCATGATTGTTCATCACCATTTCTGTATTACTGCACAAAGATATTTGAAATATTAATGAGTTTTTATTCTTGGACATATAGTCCTTGACTTAAATCCATAATTAAGCCCAAAATTTCCGTTGCTAAGCAAGGCAGTTATTAATAATTTTAACAACAATGTATGACCTTTTTGCCACTTTGTTTTTAAGCAAATAACTGTAGTTGTTAAGTGAATCCTGTGGTCATTAAGTGAATCTGGCTTTTCCCTTGACTTTGCTTGTTGAAAGCCAGCTGGGAAGGTTACAAATGGTGATCACATCACCTAAGAGTGCAGCTATCATAAATACATCTTAGTTGCCAAGCATTCGAATTTTGATCATGTAACCATGGGGCTACTGCAACGGTCATATGCCAAACAGTCATAAGTTGCTTTTTTCAGTGCTGTTGTATCTTTGAACGGTCACTAAAGGAATGGTGTAAGTCAAAGACTACTTGTACAATTCTAAATAGATTTTTAAACAGATTTTTCTATATTTCTTCCAATAACGGTACCATAACAATGATTTAATTTTATGGTGCCTGAGAATATCTACATATAACAATGTTAAAATTGCTTAAAAGAATGTTTTATCCCAAAGATTCTTGTGGGCTAGCAGTACTTAAGTAATGATAATAATATACAACCTACAAGATAAGATTGTTGCCCTTTAAGAATTCAACATAAATATGGAACAGTGAATAAAAGAATAGAATTCAGGTTACATATGGATACAATAAAATATCAGTACTTGTTGTGTTGATTTATAAATACCAAGTGCAGAGTAGTGAACATGACATGTCTTATGTTCTGTTCCAATGAAAACTGAGTGTCAGATTCATGTTCTTATATAAATTTTAAAAATTCTGTTCTGAAACCAGTAGCTTTATGCTTGACCGGACCTGCTCTTCATTCTGAACAATAATGCTAAATTGGAACGACAATGTTGTCTTACTTATTCTTAAAAAATATCAGTTATAGTGTTTTGTGTGCCAAAGGCAAGTCACTGTACATTTGAAGAATATAAATGGAAAGGGGAAAAGTGCAGTTACAATAACTGGAAATGATGCTAAATATTTAAATGAGCCTTGTACTGCAAGCAATGTATACAAGTTATATTTCTTTATGTAATCCATCAGAACAATAAAAATCAATGTGAAGCCTTACAAAACCAAATGCCAGTAACATCTATCATTTTTGGCACTCAGATTCTTTATATAGCTATTGTGCTGAGAAGTTTGGTCTTCATATGTATATCAGTATAATGTAAATTTGCATCATGTGATCTTTTTGCAGGACAGATAAATTGATTCGTCTAGCACCAAAGAGCTTGAGTAGTGTCTCTTTTTTATTAATATTTATATATTTTATTTTTTAAAAATAAAATTGTTTTGTAAATGATCACATACATATTATTTTAATTGCAGAAGCTTATCACAAAACAAGATATACTATACACTGTCCCTGAAATATTCTCAGATTCTAAACTGAAAGACATTATCCTAGAGTTTCATAAGTAGAACAGGGATATTTTCCACTTTGCTATTGTTGGTTCTTAATGTTGAAGCAGAATGCTGAATGAAGAAAATCTGATGATTTTTTGCATTAAGTAAATTGATTTGAAAGGCTTTAACTTCTGCACATATTTTGATCAGCATGTTGATAGCATATATTTGAAGTGTTAACTTATCTGGATAACAAATTGAAAACACTTGCTTTGGATAGCAAAGAACAGGCTGAGCTTGACCAGCAAGATATGGAAGATGTTGAAGAAGTAGAAGAAGAAGAATCTGGTGAGGATGCTAACAGTAAAGGTAAGGACAGAAACGAACATGAGATTATTAAGTTGTTTGCGAGTACTATAAATGCACATTTTCAAATATAATATGAGGCCTAATAAAGTAAACACCTATTAGTCATGTGGGGGGGGGGAACAATACCTTGGTAAATGCAATATTTACCTTTTAGATCACAAATATCTACTAATTAATATTTATGAAAAGTACTTTTTTTATTAAGAGGTTTTCTATTGCAGCCTATATGTTTTACTTCTAAATAAGCTCTTTCCCAACCCCTGTTTATGCTGTGGGCAGAGTTGTCTTTTATCTGACCATTCTCTTGGCTGTGTCTCTTGCCCTGTCTCCCAGGGTCATTCCCACATATCATTAGAGCTCCACTGAATAGAATGGACTTTATTTTAGTGTCAAAACACATAGGATTTCAATCTTCAAAATGAATATACACTAAATTTAAATGCAAAATTTCTCATAAATATACAGTACTTTGTAGATTTAGTTTGCTTTTGGGGTGGCTTTATGGATATGAAGACCGCATCTGTGTCCAGTTGTTAGGGCAGTGGTTCTCAACCTTTTTAATGCCGCGACCCCCAACCGGTCGTGAGTCGAGGACTACTCAACCGGTCGTAAGTCGAGGATTACTCAACTGGTGCAGCACCGTTTGCAGAATGGGACTTTTGGCGGGCTCAGCAGGGCAGAGACAGCCTGGACAATTCCTATTGGCTTTTGAAAGCCAATAGAATTAGACTCTATTCAAGAGAGTCTATTCTATTGGCTTTCAAAAGCCAATAGAATAAAAGGGAGTAGCACAGCTAAGGAAAAGGGGGAAAAATGGTGGACTGTGTTGTTTGGCGACCCCCGTGAAATGGTCGTTCGACCCCAAATGGGGTCCCGACCCACAGGTTGAGAACCACTGTGTTAGGGGAATGCCATTGTTTCCCTTGACAAAAGAAGCAAGCTTAAGTGCAAATATTATAGAAGGTAAGGTAGTGGCTGGGGAACATGTTTCTCAGATTTCTGATTGAAATACAGAAGTTGACAGTAAGCAAAATTTTGAAAGTCCAGTATGCTCTGCAGGACAAAAGTAATAAAGATTAGATTTCTATTCTGCAGCAGGTCATTAAGAAATTTATGTGGGATGAAAGTTTTATTATATGGATGTTGATTCAGAGATAATGTAAAATAATGACAAGTTGAATTGTGGAATGCTTTCTACATATATGGAGCTCCAGTTGCTGTAAGCTGTAAGAATGTTTATGGAATAAATGAAGTATGTGTGAGAATAAATAGAGTGCTTAGCAAATTAATAATGGAGTAAGAAAAGAATATATGATGCTCCCTTGATTATTTATATATTTATGCACAAATGTATAAGGAATGCTTGTGAAATTGGTAGAGGATGTGAATCTGTAAACATTTATTTGTAGGTAAAACAATATTGAGTGAGAATTTGAATGAGTTGCAGAAAATGTTGTATGATGCAACAAGGAATATAGCTGTAAAAATATAATGTACCAAAGAACACGTAGTTGTTGTTTAACAGAGAAGTGGACTAAATAATTCTCCAGTACAGGAGACGGAGAATCCACCAATGGGTTTTCTCTGTCTGCCTGCTCTTGAGACCAAGTAGCCAAACTTGACATGCCCCCTCTTGCTAGGAGATCCAGTCTTAACTTGATCTCAGCTCTTGAAGACGTATCTGGTTTGGCTCTCAGCAGATAGCAGGTCAGAGATAAATCTATTGGTGAATTCTCCTTATTTTAATTGGCAAATTTTAAATTTCATCTCTTATAACAAATTCCCCACATAGTACTGGGCTCAGTACTAAATTTATTTAGTTGGCAGTGTGTGGGGTGGGTGGGGGGAAATATTTCCCTGCAGCCTTCCTATTTCCTTCGGACCTGGGGGGGGGGGGAAACCTTACAGGAAGGAACTGCTAGGATCGCGTTTCTCCCCATTTCCCCAATTCGTTCCTTCTTGCCCATTCTTTGCTGGCTGCTCGTCTGAATTTGAAAGCCATTGTTCTCCAGCATATAGAGGAATGTAGACTCCACGCATGGGTTGATTTAGTCTTCTAGCCCAATCAGACCAAACAATCAAAGTTGCCACGCCTCTGCAGGGTCTGACCATGCCCCAGTTTTCGTTTGGTCTCAGCCCTGAAGACACATGAGAATTTGGCTCCTAATTTAGATTCAGAAAGGTAGTTATTGCCATTCGTGGTTTCTCTATCCTTTTTTTCCTTCTTGGGGGGGGGGTTGGTTCAGCTCTGAGCTCAGTGCTGCACCATTTCTTCTCTCTTAATCAATCCCTTCTCCATGAGTTTTCAGAGGCAGACAGCTGATCGTAGATTGCTGCTTCCTCATTACAATCCATCTCCCCCACCCCTCCCAAGATCTTCGCTGTGAATGCGAAGCTAAACTACTAATTTTCAGCTGAAAACTAAAATCACCTTCTTAGGTTAGTTACCAATTCAAACAACCTGCGGGCGCCATTTTGAGCCTCTAGAAGGCTCGATCCTCACACTACTCAAGTACTTCCTTGTTACTGTTGATTGTCAGCTGTAAATTACCCCCCCCCCCCCCAAAAAAACAGCAGGTGAACTGTTTGACTAAAAGAGCTGATTATCAGATTACTTGCAGGAGAGGATTTTTTCTCTCAGCTTGTTTCATCTCTCATCAGATTGTCCCGGCCGCCATTTTGGGCTCCGCCCGATCACACACATTAAATTGACTGCTTTGTCCTAATTACAGCCTTTTCAGTCACGAAGTAACTTACTTATTTGGTGATTCTCCCTAAGTGGGGGGGGGGGAATAGGAGTTCTAATTACATTCCTTTAGATCTTCATTCAGCTGCTTAATAGGCACCATCTCAAGCAAACTCAAGCCTCGTGGGTTGCCTGCTGTTTGGGAGGCAGACCACGAAGGGGATTACGAGCAGACTAGCGCTGCTCCGCGACTGCTTAGGGTAATAAGAAGAGCTGTTGGGGGCCGCGGAGGTTGTTCTCGGCTGAGAACAAGTGGCGGCCGCCATTTTGAAGCCTCGTCGTCAATCAGGAGGCGATTTAATCTCTCATCCAGCTATATCCGTTCCATTGGTCGACCCACTCATTGTGTATTTAACCAATTATACCCCTAAATAGACTACTCCGCAGAAAAAATTGACGTTTTCAATTGAGGGCCGCTAATTTACCAAGGCTCCTCTAGGCCCAACAGGCCATTTGCAGCAACAGCGGCCATCTTGAAATCCACGTGGTGGCACCAAGGCCTAGCGAGGCCTGATTATAGTGATTAGACAGGCTCAGAACACAGCAATAGCCATCAATTGTGATCACATCTTCCTGTTAGCTCATTCATTTTTCCTGAGACCTCTGTACCCCCTTGTGGGTCCTTTGCCCCCTTTCCTTTTTACTGGTGCACACTGACTGGCCACCTAAGGCCTCCGGGCAGAGCCTAGAGAGTGGTTCCAAACGTGCCTTCGGTATCTAACTCAAGAGCCGTGACCGAAGCCCATAGAGAAAACATTTTATTTCTGGTCAGGTGGTCAGGGGAACAGTCTTGTTGCTTGTTCCAATTTTGCTCCCGCCAGCTACTTGCCTGTCAGAGCGTACTCTCAACCTTTCTGAGACTGCTCCACTGGGATGGAGGGCTCCACGTTGCCTCAGTCCATGAGCACTGTCTCTCCATCCTCCAGTCACGGCTGCAATAATCCCTCTGAACAGAGGGCGGCAGGCAAGTCCAAATCCAAGACCAAGCACATGCTCAAGTCTTCCAAGCTGCTGGAGAAGCAAGCCAGCCGTAAGCACCAGGCTCTGGAGAAGGAGTTCTCCAGAGCACAGAGGCGGGCCGGACTAGATGCAATATAGTTGGCGGGTCCTGACACTGATCTCCCACTAAGGCCTTCAACTTCGACTCAAGGTGTGTGGTCCATCCCAGGGGCGCCGCTCACCCTAGGTTCACCACCCTCAGTGACACAGCACACAACTATATCCCTAGGCACGTTGCCAGAGGCCACCTTTACTCCCACGGTGGCTGGACTCAGGGGATCGGACCTAGGAGATCTTTTCTCCGATGGACGCCTTGAGGCTTTACTTTCAAAGGTAGTGGATAGACCCCTGGCACAGTGCTCCCTTCAGACACCTGATCAAGGGGCTTCCACTTCAGCTATGCCACCTTATGGGTCCCCTATGGACCTTCCCATACCCCAGGAGCCTACCTCTCCTGCGCACTCCTCCATGAGCGGATACTCATCTCCACAAGGTGAGGAGCTACCGGATATCATTTTGTCAGAGGATGAGGAGCTTCCCTCTGAGCCTTCCTCCTTGGAAGGTCTTTTCAATTCGGCCCTTTTTCTTTCAATCCTGCGCAAGGCCACGGCAACAGCTAATATAGGCTCAGATCAGTTCCCTCAACCACAGGCCCCATTGGATACCAGCCCCAATCCGATATTTTTCGAGACGGTGGCAACTGAACATCATGTCCCATGCCCCTCTATCTTCCTGAAAGAGATAAAGAAGCCATGGGCTTCCCCTTCTTCATTCCCTACCATCAGCGGGACTGACAAAAAGATCTATAGCACCTCCACAGATCTCACCGATGCGCTGGAGGTCTCCAAAGTAGATGAGGCAGGGACACCTCTGGTATCCCAAATGGCGATCGCAGGGGACTTGTCAGAGGCGCTTAAAGTGGACAACAAGAAATGGGAACACACCTTCCGGAAGAACCATCAGTCAGCGGCATGGGCAATAAAAACGGCTAGCTGTGCGTCCTTTTTTGTCAATACTACCCTTTTATGGCTGCGCCAGCTTCAGGCTAGAGTACCTGCTGAGGACTTGTGGACTCACCAGGACCTAAGCAAGATGGTAGCGGCCACTGAGTTCGCTGCTGACGCAACGCTTTAGTCTGCCATTTTTGCCTCTAGGTCCATTGCTTCCAACATCATTGCCAGGCGGATGCTATGGCTTAAACATTGGCAGGCTGACACCAAACTCAAATGGCATCTAGCGACTGCCCCTTATCTGG